AGTTTAATAACATTAAACATTTCGGCTGTTAAGCCTGTTATAAATCTACTAATCAATTGATTGAAATTAATCAGAGAATAATGTTTCCTATTATTAACGTTAAAGTTTAATTCTTGATTTTGAAAGAATCTTATTCATCTTCACTTGGACCCTAATATCCATTAGTCGAGAGAATACGCGATAGTTTTGATTAGAAATAAATACACATTTTGGTATAATAAATTTCACTTTAATTCGTTCGTTCTCGCGACGAAAGACAATCCGCCTTTATTTCTCCGGACGTCTGCACGACGACCGCGGTCATGTCGCTGCAGTTCGATATTATTGACATTTTTATCGAGATATTCGGACCCGTATTGATAAACCCGTTTTACAGAGCGACTTGCGCGCGAGATGAAAAACAACGATCGGTGATTCGATGGGACGAAAGCAATTAATCGTGCCCTCTCCCGAGTCCCGTGCAGTCATCAAGCGGCGGATCATCGCGAACGTCGCGTCGCTGTACCTCCGGCACGCTGTCGCTTTCGTTCGGACGGTCGGGCCTCGTATCGACGTGAAAAGCGCGAGAGAGAAAGACACGAAGATTCGTTGCAACGCCCACGAAAGCAATTAAACAGCGCGCCCGAAAATATAGTTACTGCGGTCGCGATACTATACCTCGAGACTATATTGACCGTATATACCCCTCCCTCCGGCAGAACCGTCAGGGATTTAGAGATGAATCCTATTTCGCGGGGCATCCAAAAGCGAGGAAATTATACGAATCACTCCAATTTCGGGATTAACTCGGAAGCACCGACTGCACATTTGCGCTGTCGTTAAAGCAAACATCTCGTATTACGCGTATTGCGAGATAACGCTCGTACGAAGCGTAATATCAAAAACGTCCGGAATGTTTTTACCTCGTCCGATAAAGCGTACTCTCATTGAAAAAAAAGTATCACTAACTATCGTGAACGCGGAGGCCGATGAAAGGGACGTTAATGGACGGATATCTTTCAATATGATCTGCACTGTTTGTCTAGTAAGCTTCTTTCATATATAACGACAGGTATTCTAGGCATGCCGTTGATGTGTCGCGATGTGCCAAATAATTTTGAAAATAGTCGCGATACTTTTCCCGGATGTGGCAGACATGCTCTGCAGATGTGCTCTGCTTCTATTTCTATCGCGAACCCTCTTCAAAGACTTGCTTCGAAGACTTCGCGTTATTTTTTTGCCATATTGTGAATATTTATAGCAAGATATTGGCCGTAAGCTGAAATATGAAATCACTAATGACATTCATCCATATTTATATTTAAAGCCCTTTAAAGCTATCTTGCGATAAAATTTAGGACAGAACTTTATTTATAATTTTTATATTACTGTATATTCTAATTTATGTGCGCGTATATATGGATATTTATTTTATATTCCGATACGTACATTTCATTCCTTCAAATGCTTTTCCATGACACGTATAAAGTCATAAATATAAATCTGCCTCGAATCCCCTTGCGAATTATAGGTCGTTTAAAATGGCGGTTGGAATAACGCGTTCTTATTTCATCGTAACGTATCGCTCGCTATTTTAACAGTTACGTTCGCTGAGTAATGCAAGCTCGGTTGGAAATGAAGGGGGCGCCTTTAATTATACATATAAATCCCGAATGTCCGTCGGGCGGGTTGATTAATGTTACATATCTCTGAATAGCTGCTTTGTGAATTACCGGCGAAATCTGTACAAGAAGCGTGTTACACGTGTTATTTATCCGATAACTCGCGAGTTGAGTAATTCTATAAAATCGCCATTTAATTCATAAAACGTTTTACAACGTGCTCGTGAAGTGTCGTGTCACGCCGTTGTCCACGCGCATCACGTCTTATCGCTGCATCCAAGCGATACAATGTTACCAGAAAACTACGGCAGAAACGTTTTATCTCAATAGCTAGTGTTCATTATTCATCGAGAAATCTCATCTCTATAAATCCAAATAAGAGCATACCGGATATCTTTTCGACAGTGTATACTGGAAGATAAACTAAGAAAAATGGCGAGAGATTGATGGCGTTCTAAAATTATTCGATACGAGACGTTGACGAATTGACTCTTGAGGAAGCTGATAAAAATTTGATTGTTTATTTAACTTCGAGTGTACTTGGATAAATATTTCAAGACGCAGTTGTTGAGATATTAAATATTAAAACTTAAAATTATACGACGAATGCTAGTTCATAAAAATTTTATTAAAAAATAATTCTCAAAAGAAAGAAACATCAAGATATATTATATGGTTCTAAGAGAATTCGCACAACGATATTGATCGGAATTTTCTCTCTCTTTCTCTATTCAGCCATTGAAAACCCAATTAGCTATTTAAAGCAAACGAATCTTTTGCTCAGATTGCATGGTTGGAAGTTACGAGTTTTACTACACGTATTAAAATAGTTGCGTAAGAATGGCTCGATAAAAAGAGAGCAATATTCTGCCAGGTCAGAAAATTGTCCCGAGTTCAAAGGGTCAAATCCTTCTCGGAGGCGGCCTCAGCCGAATTATTATCGATCCGTACGCTCGTCGAATTCACGAGGTCGTGCGCGGCCCTCCGCGGAGCGTGACAGAGTGATCGTTCGTCGCGGGTTCACGTGGCTTCTATTGATTTACTACGAGCCCGCCGGTTTCGCGAAAGACCACACCGCCGCCGCACCGCCTGTCGTCTCCTCCGCCGCCCGCGCCGCGCGTCGTCTCCGCGACTGCCCGCGCGCCGTGAAAAGTTCTCCCGGCCGATCGATCCGGTGTCAGTTGGAATCTGCTCGTAACCTGCTGTCTGAAGTATACGGTCACGCTACTCCGCAACAATGTGTCACGGAGGTTCGTTGACACGGCCGGCGTGTCGCGAACGAGGGGCACGGCGCGATCCGCGAGAGTTTCGAAAAGCGAGAAAGAGTTTCACTTTAGGATGAATTTATTATTAGAGATATCGCGTTCACTATCGAAACTAGTGGAACTCGCTAAAATGCTCCGAACGTTATATGCAACGAATGATAATAGTACGACTGAGAGTTAGAGCTAACACAAGAGATATCGAATCACAAACAAAAAGTTTTACTACGTATTTATCTGTTCGCTGACAAAAACAAGATGTTATTTAGGCTTATATCTGTTCGTATAAGTTTGTTGCGAATGTGAGAATACAACATAGCACTCTTCTTTTCTTCGATCCTTTGAATTGACACGGTCATTTACGAAATCTGATAAATCTTATTCAAAATTATTAGTGATGATGATTTTTAATATGTAAGTGATAAGCGTGCGATGAAAATGACAGTTTCATTTAGCAAAGCACTCAAGTCATCTACCTAACGATATTTTCCAAGTGGTCATTCAATAGCATGCTCGCGAAAAATCGATTGCGGGATATTGCTTCAAGAGTAAAAAAAAAGTGACAAGTGAGAAGTCATAGGTTCTTTTTGAAGTTCTCGTTGAGTTATTCAAAAAAAGATGAAAGAGACGTCGAACAGCCACCATGGTTGATGGCACGAAACACGTATCGTCTCTCCTTTCCGCATGAAAAAGCGAAATTAAAAATAATTGAAATACTGGAATATCAATATTCCAAAGCCACGTAAGAGTTGTACATACACACTGTGCAGTCTGTCGACAACGCGTACACGATAAGCTTTCGCGTTGGACAATGCCAGTCGATAAAATTGAACACTTTTGGATTCAAATGGCAACTATATACGCAATGGATTCTCTTATCAACGTTTGAACGTCTTCCTGAAATCGCTATCGACATAATCGACGACGTGCCCGACCCGCAATACGTTACGTCATTCTACGATCGTTTTCAATCTTAATATGATCAATTACTGGCTATATAAGAGCGAACAATTTTACTACAAGAGAGAGATTTTAATTTATCCAGAATAGAAAAAGAAAAATTATCCCTGATTACACGAAATATGTAATGGAAAGCGAAGTAAAAGAGCTCAGCATCGATCGCTTGCCTAAAGGTTTAATTAAAATACGTTTAAATCTTAAGAAGTGAATAATTGCTCATATTAAGATTAAGAAAATTTGCTCCAAGAGTATCGTCACGAAATAAAGTAGTATTTCTTTACAAACATGTCAACGACCTCAATTGCGATTATAAGAATATTTATCATGCTAGAACATAATGCGCGTAAGCTTTATATTAAAGTTACTTTTAATATTTTATATATTTCGCTTTAACAACGGCTCTTATTTGCCTCAAGTTATGAACTTGATTGTATATCTTGAGAGCAGTTTTTTGTTATAATGCGGTGTTTTAATTCTCTTATGATCGGCAGCTAACTTGACATATATATTCTATTCAATTATCCAAAAGTGCATTTGGATATACGCCGCGTGTCTCCAGTATATCTCGATTACGTCACCTCAAATGCCATATCCCACCCCAATCCCCTTCGACAATCAAATTAAACGCGTACCCGATATCGATACGGCATAACGGTGTAACGTATCGTTCAGCAGCATGCAGCACAGCAACGCCACGCGTATTTTCAAAAGGAAACGAGTATATGTGTGTGTGTGTGTGTGTATACTGCGGAAAGATCACGTAAGTCCACCTGCCGTCAGAGGTACGCAGGATCAAGGACAAGTCGAGCGACGAGGATACGGACAGTCAGACAGACGAAGGGATGAACGGAGGCGGAGGCGGCGGAGGCGGCGACGGTGGCGGTGGCGGAGATGGCGGATGAAGGGCTGGAGCATGGAGCATGACAGGGGAAAATGATAGAGAGGGAGAGCATCACAAGGGCGAGAGGACACACGAGGGTGAAAGAGAGCAGGTCGCAGGCCGCAGGGCGCGTACGCGGGCTACATCCGTGTACCTCCTTACTTGGGCAAAATCAATAACCTGTTTGGGGGGCGTAGGAGAGAACCTAAGGAGAGTGGCCGTAGCGCGGCACCGCCACGCCGCGCGATCCGCCAGCGTATATAATCCAGGTGGTATAGCGCGATTTTGGATACATACGCTATCCGTCCAGCCAGGATGCTATAGCGTTCCCCGTGTGCGCCAAGTGAACTCTCGGGGCTCCTCCCGACTCCAGGACTCCGGCGGTGCTCCGGTGGTTGCGCAGGAGTGCGAGGACACACACCTTCCCCCCGCACACTCCCCCCCGCCCCCTCGGTGTATATATATATGCCACCCCCTTCCCCCCCGGCCACTGCTGCCGCCGCCGTCGAGTTCCTCCGCACCTGCGACACTCCCCGGTGTATACGTGCGATACCTCCACCCCGGAAACCACCAACCCCCGGCAGGAAAACAACTCGCTCTAGCCGGGGCGGGCGCGAGTGCAGAGGCCAGGTAACAATATCCGGATGTCGTCGGCGGAGTAACCGCGAAATTCGAGCGGCGTGTCAGCGCGCGTACGCGAGACTGCGCGTCTCGCTCGTCGGATTACACCAGTAGTCCACCGCTCACTGAAACTGCACCTCGGCGGAGCGACCTGGCCGACGAGGATCGCCGGGACTCCCCACGGCTACGAAAGAGGTCCTCCTTCCCTCCGCGCGCACTTCCGCCGCTCCGGACACTTTCACCCGCAAGTTCCCCACGGGAGTCGCGCGGCGCTCTCCTTCCGGAGCATCCACCGGCACGGCCCGAATAACGATCGACGGCGGGTGCACGAGATTAACACGATTGCTCTCTCTCCGGGGTTAAAAAAAAATAACTCTGACTCCGCACTCTCTCCTGCGAAGCGGGGGCCACTCTTCGCGGATATAACGTCGTGCCGACCCCTTTCGCGCTGGGTGGCGCCCTCGGGAGAGACCAGGGTACTCCGGTGTATATACGCGCGCGGTATACGTCTCGCTTTTATACCGTAGTGTTACACCGCGCCACGCTTCTTCTCTTCCTCTCCGGGCACTTCTGCTTCTCCGCTCCCTCACGCGCAACTCCGAAGCGAGGCGCAACTCGGGAGAGAGACGCGGCGCGCGCGCTTCGAGCTGTCGCGGCTGTGGGGCGCGGACCACTACCTCGACGAGCCTCCCGGATCGTTGGATAAAACTTGGTGGGGCCGTTCCGGTCGACGTGCGAACTCCCCACCTCTTCGTCGTCGGCTCCCCCCCACCAGCGGATGATAGACCGACGGTCCCTCCACCGCACACCCCCTTCGTCCCCCGTACGGGCGCTCCCTCGTCCTCTCGCACCCTTCGCCACAGACGACTCCACTATCACAGCCAACGCCGCCGCCGCCGCCACCGCTGCCATGAGGAACGTCGGGCAGCGTCGTCACCCCTCGAAGGGGGTTGCAGGGTGCGCGCGCGCTCGCGCGCGTTCACCCTCGCGCACGAGCCACCACGCTCCACGGTCGTCTACGTCGCCTGCGTGCCGTTAAAGTTGCCCTCGCCGCGCGTCACCCCAACGCTGCAACGCTAACATCCACGATCGAGAATGAAGATAACGCGACGAGAGTAGCGTGGTCGAGAGTGATCAGAGGGGGGTCGACGCGGCGGGGTTGCCTCTCGGATCCGATGACCTGCGGATTCTTGGCAAGCGAAGCACCACTAGATAGAAGCCCGCGGGGGAGACTTCTCATAACGTATTACACACGCGGAAAGCCAGAAAACCCGGGGGGTGGCCGGAGGGAAGGAGGGGAAATCGCGAATCCAATTGTTTCAATCGGGTTTCGTGCGACGGTTTCCTTTTGTTGTCACGCTGTCCCGTCGCCAGCGTTCGAGAAGAGCGAATGATAAAAATTGCATTTGGTCAAGGCAATATTTCTTCGTGTCTCCTTGTTGATAATGGATTTGATGTTCATTTGATTACAGAAAAATCTTCGTAAAAAATTATATAAAGCATATATAGCAATCTTCTCGTTGATACGTGGAGTCGGTAGACAAAGAGGAAGACGAGTAACGATCGCGAAAAAGGTCGGTGAAGGAAAGCCGCTTCATCGAGACCATGTCGTTTAACGACTTTTTGAAGTTAATTAACGTTGCATATTCATCTTTTCCTTTTTCCATTTCCCTTTTTCTTTTTTTTTTTTTTTTTTTATTCTTTGTAACTACCAGACGGAGTGAGCTGCCTCATTTGCATACCTTCTCGAAAGCGTTGGAGCATCTGGTTGCGATAAGGAATCGAAGCGGTAGACCGTAGCTGGCTCGTTAATGAACCGGAAGATACACTAAACGCGAAAGAGAGACGCGGGTGAATAACTCCACCTGGTGCGCCGCGTCGCGCCGCGCCGCGCCGCACCGCCGACGAAAGTTTTCGGTCTCTTCCACTTTACGATACCGCAAATACGATATCACGGTGCGCGGGAATGCGGTCTTACTTCGTACAACATCGCGGGACATACCTAAAATTCATCGCGGCGTACTCCGAACGCCCGGCATCCTAAATGTCGTAATGTCCCGTCCGCTGGACGTCCTACGAGATGGACACCGAATCCCGCGCGGTATGCACGGATTGCGTATCCATTTTTATAGCTTTCGATTTCGCGGAAAATATTATGCTACGACTCGCCCTCCTTCACTCGGTTCCCATAAAACCCGGGGTCGCCAAGTACGTCAGTTTTAGGAGTATGACGAAAGAATAAATTTTATGATGTGTATAAATTTATGCTCAGTTTGATATTGTTACTTCTATAGCAACAATACGTTAAAATAATATTATTTCGCACAATACTATTTTGACGAGCGCGAATACTTGGCGCTCTTTTTTACCTCTTTTTACAAAGGTGTTTTTGTGGTGAATGATAGAGCTCATACTTCGCTCTGATTTTCACATATAAAACCAAACCGTTCGTACAATTAGAGAATATTTTTTTTAATTGAAATAAATAAACGCTTGGATAAGGGTTTGTTAGAAATAATAATAATGTTTCCTAAACGCGTGCGTTACTTTCATTTGTCAATACTTAAAATAAGAATATTCAATCGAGATGCATCGAGAGGTTTGTTAATAGATCCTTTAAAATTGAAATTATTTCTTCAGTGTTTATTTAAGGAAGGACTGTTAACGGTAATATACGACTGGGATAACAAAGTCAGGAAAATAGGGTTGATAGGTAGAAACAGCCGCATGCTAGAGACACGTATTTAGGGTGACACGAATAACAGAAGGGTGAGAATTATTGATCTAGAATAATATGAAGCGAAATAGTGACAATCCTGCTTTCATTGTTTAATAATGGTAATAATTTTTCAGTAAAATAGGAGTTTAATTATGTTGATATGATCATAATTCTCTCAACTTTGAGTATTCTAACAATTCTAATAACAAAACAGATTTTAAAATAAAAAATTTTGCTATAATATATGAGTTACGTAAAGTAAATCGGAAACCAAAATTTCTTTGAAATTTAAGTTCTTTAATTAATTTTTAATATAAGTTTGTAATTATCAGAAACCTTCTTATGTCTAATTATTCGACAATAATAGTGAGTTAATAAAAAACTAAAATGTAATTAACAGCACATACTTAATTACATCGTTTCCAGAAATCAATTTGAATTCTTTTCAGTTCATTTCAATTCAGGTCACTCGTGTATTATTCGCGATATTTTTCTTACCTGTACCTATATATACTCGCATTACGTCTTTTCGTGAAAGATTTAGGGAGCAGATAAAATTATAAAATAAAGATTGCCATATTTTTAGATGTCTAGAAAGTGCATCAGAAATGTCAATAATAAATTAATCACATTAATTTGATTTCTAGAAACTAATTAATTACGTATCACTAACGGAGTAGACTAGATTATTATTAACCTGTTATCTCGTAACTATCGTTGCCTCGTTAATAATTTCTCTAGTTGACTTTATTATAGGTCTGCGCTATAAAATATAAAACACCATATGATCGTAATACGCTATTATAAATGTGACAGTACCTGACACGCTTTTCCACAAGCGTGTTTCCTCAACGTATTCTTACTTTCCTTTACTTGAGTTTTGCCTGCTTCGTCCGAAGCTATTATTCAAGCCCTTGTTATTATCGACAGCCGACGTACGCGTATGTTGCATATTACGCACGACCGGATGCAAGTAGCGCAGCACGCGCCGTGCTCACTCGTGCACGGTTACCGCCGGTCATCCCCCTTCTCCCGGTTGTTGTCTTTCCCGTTCTCGACGTTCCCGCTCCGTAACGTCGTAACCCTCGTCGCACTCGTCGCAGGGTGCCTGCCGAAACACAAAACGTCACGATTCACGACAGTCCGACGAATCCTGATAAATGACGCAATGACGGTATCGACGAGGGCCTGGAAGATTAATGGTCCTCATTGTCGCGCAGCGTTGTGACGATTCAACACAAATCCAATACGGGACAAAATATAATTATATATGATTGCGACGACTTAGTTAAATTTCATGAATTTTTACGTAGCAATTTTCAAAACTATAAATTTAATTTTGATTTAATTGGATAAAAAATAATGTAATAATTGCTCTAACAACGTTGTCACAATTATTACTTTGTAAACTGATGCGATTAAGGATTTATGATTGTGATGATCATCGTCCCAAGATCAAAGGCCTAGAATTTTTCAGGTGTTTTGCCCGCACGCATGACTTATGTTCCGCTAACTATCACCACGAGTGCGTTCAATTCAAACGGAATTATTCATGTATCTATGCATTTATGCCACACGAATAAACCGTCTTTACAGTTTCATCGGTTTCATCGGTTATATGTGGCACTATAACCAACGAGAGATATACAGCGTGTACATATTAACGATATTTATTAGTGAAAACCAGTGAATTACGGCTCGCTGTTGAAGCGAAATACGGTCGTATCCGGTGGGAGTGCATGGAACGTCCGCGGTATAATTCCTCTCGAAGTTGCCGCGTATTATTTAACGTAGGGTAACGCCCTTAACGAGAATTTACGGCTTTTATAAAATATCTCGACTCGCGTGCGGGAGGATCCAATACGGGAGCTCTGAATTTTTCCGGTGAGGTGAGATCGTCGCAGAAACGTATAAATCTACGTG